AGAATAAGGGTTTGCATTTTGGATGGAAAGAGTTAGTGTTGGCTAACCAGATTATGTGATGGAAAAGGTATAGAATTTAATATTTTGAGATGTTGTCAGGATAAGACAACCAAATATGAAATGGATCTGGATACAATTGTATATTTGGATCATAGTACTGTGGTATAGTAAAGGGAATAAGGATTTGTATATTTGAGTAAAGTTGAGGATTGATAAGAAGAGTTTAGGAATGGGTATATCGATGATCAGTTTATAAGACAAAGTAAGTCATCATGTTTAGTTGAACAACGGAAATTATAGGATGTATGAGAATGGAGGTGAAATTGACAAGTTAAGTAAACGAATTTTGAGATAATTTCGATTGGAAATGATGTATGTGATTGGTTGATTAGGGTTTGTATTTTAGATTGGACAGATGTTATTGATTAACTGTCAGAGTAAAAGTGATAGAGTTATAAGATTGGAAGAAAATGTAAAGTTGAGTTAATCAATTATGATGTGAATCTGAATATAGTTGTGTATTCTGATCAGATAGCTATGATGTAGAAAAGGAGATAAGTATTTGCATGGAATTTTAAGAAATAAAAATACAAGTATAAGAAATGATAAAGAATAAAGTTCTGTATAAGAAATGGGTTATCAAAGTTATGAGGATGCAATGAAGATTGGTATATAGCGATGAAATAGGTGATAAGACAAGAGTATGTGAACATGAAATGAAATATATGATTTGTGTATAAGGAATAAATAAAGGAAGAATGGAATAAAGAATGAAATGGGATTGAGTTAAAAGATCAGACACGATAAAGGTTATATAGAAGTGTAGGTGATAATTTTGGATATACAAGTGAGAAAAGCGTGATTTGTGAGGTGAAAAGATTTTATAAAGTGTATGTTGAATCATATTTAAAGAAGATTTAAGGTCGTGTTCTTGGTTAAATGATGATGGAAAACGAATTTGGTTATTATTATAAGGTAGTTAGAGATGGATTTATGATGTTGATTGATGAAAATAGATTGAAGTTAATGGTTGTTGTTTAAGTGATAAGTGACATGATATGAATGTATAAAGGAAAAAGGTAATTGAAAAGTTAAAGGATTGAAAAGTAAGTTTCCTGATGATGACAAGAAAGAGTAAGTAAATGAAGCAACATGAGAACATTAGAAGATATGTTTTATCAAGATGTTCAGTGAAAATTCGAGGACGAATTTTCTTAAAAAGAAGGGGAGATTTGTAACATCGGCAATACCGGGTTAATGACTAAATTGAAAAGTTTCAGAATTTGGTGACTAAAGTAGAAGAATAAAATAATTCAATGATTATTGGAAATATATGATGAAGGTTATTTAGTAATTATTAAAGGAAATAAAGGGTAAAATGGTCATTTGACCAGAAAGATTTTTATCTTTCTTTTAAGGTTATAAAATGTGGAAAGGGTGAGAAGAAAAGAAAGATCTGGAGCTTGGGTTATCTCATTCCTCCTCTCTTCCCGTAAGCTCCATGGCAAAGGTAAGTTTAATTTCAGTTGGTTAATTCTTGAGTTTTAAGCTTAGTTTTGATTCTTGGGGTGCTAAGAAAGATTATTTAGAGATTAAAGTAGGTTGAAACTTCAAAATGGATGAGTTATGAATGATTAAATATGAAGAGTTTTTAAGTGAATTAGTGAAATAGAAGGAGTTACTAGATTTTGAAGTTGAATTTGACTTGTCATATGGAAGAGTAAGAAGTTATAAGTGTTAGAATTAATTTTGGATAACATGGAAAAATTGGTATGATTCTTGAATGCTATGTGGAAGAGTGGATTTTTAAGTTGAAGAGATATTGAATGAAAATTTATTGGTTTAAGTATGTGTATGAAAGTTAGGAATATTAAAGAGAGTGAAGTATGAAGTGTTGAGCTGAAAATGAAGTGATTTTCGAGCTCAAAATGTAATTTCTGGGCAAAGGGAATCGGTACCCATTCAAGGGGAACCGATACCCCCTCAAACGAACCAGAATTTACAGAATGTCAAGGGGGAATCGATACCCCCACAGGAGGGAACCGATTCCCCCCTAAAGGAAGAAATGAATATTGGTTTATTAAGTTCGTTTAAGTTGTTAGTATTGAATTACAAGATGTATGTATCTAATAATTGTCTTGAAAATGTATAATGATGTAGATATCGAACATGAACAAGTTCCAGAATGATTATCAATTTAAGATTCGATCGAAAGAGAGGAAATCATAAAAGTGGATTGGAACTTAGTGAGGCCAATGTGAGTGCATATCATTAGATTGTGCATATTATTATATGGAAATTAGACTTGTGATAAGTCTGTTTCCAATATTTTATGTTTGCATGAATAGAAGCATGATTAAGTTTGTATTATGTGTATATGCTTTGTTCATATTATATGTTATGAGGTGTAAATTTATATGATATGGGTTATATGGGAACAAAATATGTAACTATATGTGAACATTATGAGCTGTGTGAATATGTGAAATAAGTTATAAGGGCACGAATCATGTATAATAGTAAATGATGTATGTGATAACCGTAGAAAGAAATTAAGTTAAGTGATTATGAACATGTAAATATATGTTTAGATGAAGGTATAATAGCAAAACATAAATTACACGAGTCAAGTTTATGGAAACTATGATAATTTATTTATAGTATTCAATAAAAAGTGAGATAAACTAACTAGCATTGATTTATAGGACAATATGAAAATAGAATATCAATTAGAAGATCTGTACATAAATAAAGATAATCATATGAGAGATAAGCTGTATGAGAAAGATTAATGTGCTTAGATGAGTTATGATATAGAAATTACATGGTAAAGATCTATGAAGTCATAGGAAAAGGTTATAAGAGTAATGTAAACTTGAGTTAAGAGAATATAAGAAATTTATATGTAAATGAATTTATTTAAGTGATATATGTTAGTATGCTACAATATATGTTATAGGATCTATGTAAGCATAAGAGAACAAAATATGAGCTAGGTATTATGAATATAAATGATGATATGATTATGTACAATAAATTAGGGAATTATGATCTAGGTGTTTATATGTCTATAAAAAGATATAAGAACAATATATAAGCTACAAAATCAGAACTGTGGGATTTTAGTGCTATATAACATTATCTATGTGATTAAGTACAACTGTGATATCCATATATGACAATGATTTGTGGAATTGTATGAAAATGTGATATGAGCTACGAGATAATAAATTATGTGAATTACATGGAAGTGATTTGTGTGAATATGTCTGATATGTCTTACATGATATGTATGATTTCACAAGAAATGACATGAGCTATGTGATTACATGATTATAAGAGATCAGACATGCGATAAGAGATAAGTGTTATGAATGTGTGAAATGATAAGTATAAAAGAAAATGCCCATGTTATGTGTCTTGAGAGCTAGGGGTATAGTTGACATGCCAAGAGTCGAGGGTCTACACGGTCCTTTGGGACATATACGTATTCTTTGGAACATTTGTGATGTCTTTTGAGACACATACTTTATCCTTTGTATAGGTATATGATTCTTAAGGAATTTTCTACGTGGTCCTTAGGGACATTTTATATGGCACTTCAGTGCAATTCTACGCGGCACTTCGGTGCAATTCTACGTGGCACTTCGGTGCATTTATACGAGCTGTGGTGACAGCATTAGTGCACAACCTCTAGAGACTCACATATCAGTAGTTCTCACATATGTACATGGGTTAATCAAGAGATAATAACAAATATATATATATATATATATATATATTGTGATATGATAAATTCTATAGCAAGGACATGAGGAGGTATTGGTAGAGTATATGATTTATATGATATTTGTATTGTTTGGTTAATTGAATAATATGTTGAGTAAAAGAATATATATATAAGAGGATAAAATTATAAGATATAAATGATAAGAATATTGATATTGAAATAAGATTAGAGATTTAAAATAATGCATAATATGTATATGTGTATAATATGTTATATATAATGTTATATTGTTTTGATGTGGCATGATAAGACGATATGTTCATACATGTTTAAGCATTTAGCATTTCCTTTATAAGTTTAGTGCATCACTAAGTCATAAACTTAGCGTGTGATGGTTTCACACGTAGGTTACAGAAGCGAGAAGAGAAGCGAAGAAGAGCGAGACATGTTAGCATATCTCTTACCAAAATTTCAGATCAGAAAATAGATGATTTAAATGTGTTTGGTTAATTAGAAAATAGTTGGCATGTACTAAGTGATTGAGTTGAATATGCTCTGATCGATTTTGGTTATTTTGGTCTATTTAAGAAAATAAACCGCTTTTATTTTAATAGAAGTTTTAAATTTTCTTTGAATTGTGTCAAGAGTCAAAGTTTGAAAAGTCGATGTGACACTTCGGACTCGGATCCAGGTCGGATACGGGTTGGGGGTGTTACACATGAATAATTCAGGCAAGGTACACTGGGAAGCAGTTAAATGGATCCTCAGATATCTACGGGGTACTACAAACAAAGCACTTTGTTTCAAAGGTGGAGATACGATACTGACAGGCTATGTAGATGCTGACTTAGCCAGAAACATTGACATCAAAAGGAGCACTACAGGGTATGTCTATACACTAGGAGGTACTGCAATGAGTTGGGTTTCTCAACTACATAAGATAGTTGCTCTCTCCACAACTGAAGCAGAATATGTCGCTGTTACGGAAGCCAGCAAGGAGATGGTTTGGCTCCAAAGTTTTTTGAAAGAGTTAGGCAAGAAACAAAAAAACAATGTTTTGTACTGCGATAGTCAAAGTGTCATCCATCTAGCTAAGAATCCGTCTTTTCATTCCAGGACGAAACACATACAATTGCGATATCATTTTATCCGGTCTCTTATGAAAGATGGAACTTTGAAACTTGAAAAGATTAGTGGAGCTCAAAATCAGGCAGACATGTTGACAAAGACAGTGACCACAGACAAACTGAAGTTGTGTTCAGTTTCAGTTGGCATGCTAGTGTAACAAGACCATAAATGCTGCAGCAGTGATCGATGTGTGAAGACAGAATAAAATCAGTCTTCAAGTGGGAGATTGTTGGAAATAGTCAAGAAAAGTGGACAACTTTCGGTGGCTTTAAATGCACCGAAAGTTGCTTGTTGAAAATGGTTTTTGGCTTAATTACATTTTAGTCATTGCACACTTTAAGGTATTTACAAGATTAGTCCCTAAGGTTCAACTATAAATACCCTAACCCATTTAGTTAGAAAATCATCCCAAAAATCATTTTCTTTCTCCCATTACTAGAGAGCTTTCTTGTGAGTGTTTTGTAAAACCTGTAAATATTCTCTCTTAGTAAAAGATCTGCAGCAGTCCGGAGACGTAAGCAAAATTGGCTGAACTCCGTTATCAATTTCAGGTATTATTTTTTTGCTTTTATTTCGCATTCTCACTAATCTGATTATAGGAAAATTGCATGTTATTCGGTTTATTTCCCAACAGTAAAGTTAATATTTCCTTCCATGGAACGAATTCTACGAATTATAAACAAATTCACAGCAATGAACAACATAATCGAACATGAGAGACTGAAAATGGTCTTTGTATCATGGTGAGGAATGCTGATAAATCCACTCATGGTGCCTCTAAGTCGACAACAGATACTTTCAATGAAAAAATCATTAGTTACTAATCAAATTCCAGATGCATATTCTCAAAGCAATTCATCTGTTGGCAGACAGATAGAGGATTTTGGTGAAGTGAGCATGAAGAGAGACTCAGGCAATGAGATGCATTCTGTGAACGAATTGCACGGTATTAAGAATGCTCAGAATGTTGATCATCATGAATCAAAGAAGGGGAACAATCAAGTTATTCTTCTCATTCTCAGTCAAACACTTTCAGAGATGATTGTGATGGTGCTTCTAATTTAAATTGGCAGAAGTCTGAAAATGATAAGAGAAACTCAGATGAAAGGAAACAGTTTGTGAATGAATTAAATGATAGAAAGATTTCTGATTTTGCTGATTATCAAGAAGGAAGGATCGGGAAGCAATCAAGCTCTTCATCTTCTAGTTCAGGTACTTTTGATGATGATCCTTATGGAATATCTAATTTAAATCATCGGAAGTCGGGAAACTTTTCTGTTGAGAATTCTTTTCTTTTCAACGATAAAGAAAGCCCTCAAAGAAGCACAATAGAAACAACGGGCTTTTATGATAATGCCTCTGCTGTTTTTGATGATTATGGATCACGTTCTGAAGATAAATTTGATTTGGAGGAAGAGCATAAGATACATGAATATGGTTGAACTTTTCATCTCTATTTAAAAGATCACCTGCTCATCCATGTCCATGTACACATTCTTGGAGCACTGAGAAGAAGGTTGAATTGGTTAAAGAGTCCGTTTCGCAATCGCATATTCTCTCGGAGAAGCGGTCTGCTCCTATCGTCTTCGTAAGTTCAACAAGCTCAGCAGGCCCTTCACATGTAGATGACTTGCCTCCGACTTTCGATAATTACGACCCTAGTTCAGAAAGTGAAGGGGAGCTAGACAAGTTTGAATGTTTGATAAGAACAACAATTATACTATAGGTAGTCAGAAAAAGAATTTGGAATCCCACCAAGCTGAAAATTGTATTTTCAATCAACCGTTGTCCGTGGACATGGAAGATGGCATTCGAAATAAGGACTGCAGGCATGCACCATATGCTTTATCCTCCTCAGAGGCAGAGAATGATGCATCTGCTGGACTTAAGCAATCACCCCCTCCCCTAGAAGAGGATTCAGTTAGTTCCCGATCATAAAATCGAGAACCGAAAGGGAGTGATGAAGTGAGTAGAAAACTCAGCAAGAGAGCATCAGCCACTCGTGCTTATTCCAGTGATCACTTTGAGGAGGAAAGACCAAAACATATTTTTAGTAGCACTCGAGATCAATACAACAGAATGCCAAGCTTAAATGTCCCCGTGCCATGTTTTGGTTTGGGAACTAGTGATTCTGATGAAGATCTTCCTAAAACAAGTCGAAAGGCTGATTCAAGAACTCGTTTTCCTCAGGGCCAGCCCAATACATGTGCCTGATGGGCGACGGCCCAGGGCAGCATGTAGGGCTGGGGCATCAGTTTCTAATATTGTGACCAGCCCACCTTGTATAGGAATAAATCTGGCATGCTTCTAATATTGCTGTCAATTCCGCGAATGATAGGACATAGCGAAGAAAACCCATAAAGGAACATCGCAGAAGGGAGAGTGGGTAATTTCCTTTTCTGTATCTGTTGTCTCCCACAATGGCTTCGATGTTGGAACCTGAAAGCTCAACAACAAACATATATTTACCGGAAGAGTGGTCGGACCGTCGGAGGCTGCTGATTCCATAGCCTATGATTCTGTAACTTCGCCTCCTCCTTTGTCTTTAATCTATGGCCAAAAACTCTGACAAAACTACTTTCTCTTTCTTCTCCAAAGGTTAGGAGTTCAAGAGAGAATCATTGGTTTGTTTCTTTTTATTCTAATTTCTCCGAGTTTAATTTACTTGTTGTGAAAGGGATTATGACTAAATGTTTAAATATTCGTTGATATTAGCTGAAATATTTTTTTGCTGGGTGTTATTGCTGGATGATTTATGAATCTGCCCCTATTTTTATATCATTTTTCTAGTTTTATATGGAAGGCTAATTGTAGTTTTGGATTCCAGAAGGCAAATATATTCCAGAGATCAAACATATAGATAACTATGAAATGAACATACACAGAATGTATAGCTAAAAATATATTCATATTGGACCTTTTCCATTGAAACTATATGATAGGAAGAAGGAAAATGTTCCTTTCATAGTGACCAAATCAATAAATTAAGGAATATGAAACCAAATTGTAGTTTAAGCTTTAAACTCACACGACCTTTCCACTGTTGTTCCTCTTGAGTGATCAAGGACATCTGGTTTCTTCGGATTCGGGTTAAGCTTGAAAGATGAGCATTTAATGTGAGACGGAAAATCAAAATTTCGATCGACCAGAGCACGGGGAGATGGGGGAAAGTTCATTCTGGGAATGATATATTTATGGTTCTTTGTTGAGAATCAATTTAAGAATATGTGTTGTTGGAGCTTATGGTTTCTATTTTTTGGTTTTCTGATTAAGGTTACTTGCCTAAAAGACTCCGTAGAGTGCTCAATCATACTTTTACCTACTCCCATTTGTTGTAGATATTAGTTGCTCTGGATATTGTGCGTCCGGGAGCAAATGTGATGCCAAGGAGCCAGCTCAATCAAGTTTTAGATGCTGAACTTGGTCCTGGTTGGTCCACAAAGCTGACTAGCTTTGATTATGAACCCTTGGCTGCTGCAAGTTTAGGTCAGGTAAGAAAAATGGTTGCATGTTTATTGTGTTGTCATGCTGACTAGGATGTTCCCCATATACTTTGTCTTTAACCTTTTAAGGCATAATGTTTTGTTGTCTATACAAAGAGTCTTTATGTATAAAATCTTGTATCTACAAGTGGACATGTTAATATCAATTACTAATTTTATTTCTGGCATTGATGTTATTTGGTTGGAATGGATCATTGTTTAATGCTCTGGCATTTCTGTTATTTTCAACCTTCATTTGTGTTCATTGGTGTTTTATGTGATAACTGCCTTGTTTAATTTAATTTGTCACTGGCAGTTTGATGCTTGTTACTACTTACACATGGTTTCGTTCTTTTATATATATATAAATTCATTTTTTGAGTTTTGCTTATGCTTTTCGGTATTTAAAAAATTATCATCCTTGTTTTTAACTCTAGACGTGAGTTCAAGTTGAATTCACAGTAAAATGATTGGCTTTTGTGGAGAAAGAACAGAACTTTTCATATCATATAATTCATTCCTATGTTTTGTCTATTATATGGTAGGGGCATAAAATTATTATCTCGCCCAAAGCATTAAAATTCATTGGACCGTTCCTCATCAGAAATATGTATCTCCTTCGAATTCACCGATAGATTCCACTCTTAAAAGGAACTCGGATCACTCGAAAGTTTTCGACATTCCGAGTCGGCATCAAAAGCAACATGACCAAAACGTTTCCATCTGATGAAATGAAGATGTCGGAAAAGGAACAGCCGTGTACATCCGTCCCAGAGATTGTATCATCGGGTAGTGCCAAGAGTTCAGAGGTTCAAACTTCAATTGGGGAGAGGTCAACTCATGTTCACCCAAGGCTTCCTGATTATGATACATTGACCGCATTCTTAAACTCTCTCAAACAGAATCGCCAATGAATATGTATGTTCGTTTTGCTTTCTGATACAGTGTTCTAATATTTACTATTAATTCCACATGATTTCTATACATGATAATTTCTATATAAATAAATATCTCTCTTTGGTAATCCTAGCCGCTCTCCCCTTTTTTTTCCTTTTTTCTCTCTATGTCGTTTGACCATTCTTTTATTTATATTTTCTCAAGGTTGGATTTGACGACGACACTTATTTAAAATCTTGTTCATCTTCTCTGCCCTTCAGATTAAATTTGGACGCGCGATTTTGTATTAGTGATAGTTTCTTACGACGCTCGGCTCTGATTTGCGGTTCTCGGTGGTCTTTCAGATTGGAATGAGTTGATTATTCAATCAAAACTTGATTCGTTGTTGGGTCTCAATATTTCAGATTGGATAGTGAATAATTTGCGAGGAAAATTGATGAGAGTTAATATTATATATTTTTATTATTATTTATCTTTCATTTATCGCTCGGATATTACTGATTTATCTTAATTTTGAATTTATTTTGGACAATAACTTCATTGGATTAATTAGCTTAAAAATTAGTAGATTTCGACGGTACATTCAACATCTTATAGAAGTTAAGAAAAACTTCCTATAATATTTAATTTGTAATTTACCTGGGACAAGGTTATTTTAGGATTTTTAGTTTGATTATTCTATTATTATTTTATTTAAAAATTAGTTATTTTATTAGAACTCTTATTAGGATTTTTAGTTTGATTATTTTAGGAATGAGTTATTTTATTTGCTTAGAACTCTCAGGTTATAAATACCCTTAGGTTCAACAGTTGAAACTCATATTGAAATTTATTTTCCTTGGTTATTTATTGAAGTTCTACTTTTCTTTCATCTTCATATTTATTTATTTATTTTCTTTCATTATTTCATTTTCACAATGTTAAGCATGATTCAATCTATGTTTGACTAAACTTCTACCTAGCCAAAGGTTTCTGCGAAACTCAATTTCATTCATGAGAATTAAATCTTGACTTTCATACATTCATATCGTATTCTTGATTCTCTAGAAATTGGAAGTGACAATTGATCATTCTTAAAAATTATTATATCTTCAACTCAAAAGGTGCACGTTGATTTGAATATTGTTTTGCTTAAAGTTTGGAAGTCGGATCGGTTGGTCGTTATTCGACTTCCTATGAACAAACTTAGCAACGGTTCGTTAAGGAAAATCAAGATCGAGTTCGATTCTCGGTGAGATGCTATAACTTGAGTCGGGCTTTTTCAGAATTTAAAGTTATTTTGGATCTAACGGCGATAGACGTGGCTAGACCAACAAGGATTAGATTTCGAAGATAGACTTGAAAATTTCGATTAACCGGAGAGAAGAGTTAGATGCAGGGGTTGGGCATTGTTAACTATAACTGATATACATCACGAAGGGAAAATTTTATTTCGATGACCGATTGGAATTGAGACTAAGCAAAACCTGGGCTATATCATCTTTATTTAATTCTTCTACTTTATTTATTTTCTCATCATTATTTTTATTCAATATTTATTTATTTTATTAATTTATTTTCATTAATTTTAATTTCCTTTTATTTTCTTGCAATTGATTTAATCCGAGACATGTGTTCTCTATATTACTTTATTTATTTATTTGAGAATTAAGAATTATTTTTATTTGCGAAATTCGGTTAACACATACTTTCTTACTCTCACTAGGATTCATTATTTTTTTATGGTTATTGTAATTCGGTTAACACATACTTTCTTACCATAAGGATTAAGGATTTTTTAACGAGACATGTGTTAACTCTTCTTTATATAATTTTGTCGTTTATGAAATCATTCATTTCACTAGGAAAAAAATAAGAATGTGAGAAAACCACAACGTCGTGGGATGGGACAGTGATAGACTTTTGAAATGGTTGGGCTTAAAACGGACATTATCTGGTACTCAAACTCAACATCATCTACATATGGATAAAATACGGCATTCTTCACTAAATTTTACTGTCTCTTCTAGTTTACTCATTATAATTTCATTTTTTTAATTTATTTATTGAACTTTCGAATTACTCTTGTTTTCATTATTTTGAATTATTCTATTATTATTTTTTATGTTGCAAATTTTTTATTATTATTTAGTATAAAAATAATTTTATTATTATTTTGAAGGTCGATAGTGGATAGTAATGACAGTGGGTAGTAATTATTTTAAGTTTTTTAAATTTAATAATACTAAAATATTATTTATTTTAATTATTTTTACATTAAATAAAAAACATTATATCATACAAAAATAATAATAAAATAATTCAGAGTGATCAAAATAGAAACAATTTGAAAATTCAATGAATAAATTAAAAAACTGAAAATACAATAAATAAAATAGGAGAGAAAGTAAAATTGAGTGAGGAATGATATAATTTACCCATTAACATATTTGTCCAAACATTGGCTGTCCATTTTTTAGGTTTGGAAATAAAGAGTTAGGGTTGTTTGTTTACTGCTGAATGCTGAACCGTTCAGTATTCAACGTGTTTGATTCTCACATCTGAATGAAGACTATGTTGAATGAAACAACAAAACACTGCTGAATGATTCAACATTAAAGTACATTCTGAATCATCAAACACCCGGTATTTTACCATAATACATATTTTTTCACATGTTGTCTTATTAAATATTCATATCTTATAATATGATCAATCATTATGAAAGTAAAAATGAAAATATTCATAATTCAGATTGTACATTCAGAACCATTATCAAACAGCATGTCACATTCAAAATTAATTCATACAGAACTTTTAAATCATTCAAGACATTAAATCATTTAACGTTTAATCATTTTATTTTATCAAACAAACCCTTAGACTTGAAAGAAGGTCCTATCAATTCCCAGACTGCTGCTTTTTTCTCAAGGGTCAAATCCACCACCTTCGTCTCATAGCCGGTAGGTAATCTCTCTCTTTCTTAGCTCAATCAAATCAAACCCTGATCATATTGGTTGACAATTCACTCACCCGATCCCAATCCACCGAATCGATGTTGGTAGGGCTGCTTTAGTCGGGTAATTTCAATTTGAAAACTGAGAAACTTTAGCTTTGTTAAAATGTTATTGCTGTTGGGAATAAGGATTTTGATATGGAATTTGTGTGAGGGCGGATATATGGTTAATCGGTTAGGATCGATCTTCCATTAGCGCATTTTTGTTCACGAATTCGACCAATTTTATGATTTCCCTCATTTAATGAACATTGAGATTTCAGTCCTTGCAACCCAGGGCTGCTGTAATTGGTTCATTGTACATCTAGTCAATTTTTATTTGCCCTATTTAGGGGTGCTAACTTAGTTGAGCAGATTTACGAGTAGCTCAAACTTGATTCGATCAAAACCCTGTCATCGCTCGAACTTGACTCGAGATCTTGATGAATTGAGTTGATCATGAGTAACTTTTATAATTTTTTTATAAGTTTTTAGTATGTTGATTGTCTTATTTTTAGTATTGATTATGTATTGTTAAATTTAATTTTTTTCAAGAATGATTATAATATGTTAGTTTGGTGTATTTGTGTATTGTTATTTTAGAGTTTAGACTTTGGAATTGATTCACACTCTATTTTGATCATTTTTTTAATTTGTTGATTTATATTTATATTAAGCTCTATATAATATTACTAGATTTTCCGTATATTTTAGAAAAAAACAAATCAAAATTTCAATGAGCAACGAGTTGAGTCAACTAACGAGTACGAATCAAACAAAATTTTATCGAGCTTACCCAGTATCAAGTCGAACACTGCTCAACTTGATCAATAAGTATCCCTAGCACTGTTGATCTTGGTTCATGGTGTCATGATCACAAATGTTAATGGTGAAGATGACTGTCCTTTTCGATATCTACATTTTCAAGTCACGGTTACCTTCATTTCTCTATCGTAAAAACGTTGCTGTTCAGAACAGTTTTAGAGCTATGGATAACGAAAAGAAAGGACCAACAAGTTTCAGCAAGGGATTATTGCAGAGTGAAGAACTGTATCAGGTATTGCATCTCTCTTTGAATCATTTAACTTCTTATTACTTGCTTAGATTCTTAAGACATATATACCACAATAATGTGACAGTATGTACTAGAGACTAATGTGTATCCGCGCGAACCGGAGCCGTTGAAAGAGCTAAGGGGCATCACTGCTACCCACCCATGGTAATGAAGTATTGTTTTGCTGTCTATTTTGTTAAATTATGTGGTTCTCAAAATGATTAGTTTCAGAGCTCATGATGTCTATAATCGAAGATGAATACCTCGTAAACAATGGATTCTACGATGAAGTGATTGTACTTAATTGTCATCTTCTAGGGCTGTTATGGCTACTGCACCTGATGCAGGGCAGCTAATTTCCATGCTCTTGAAGCTAATAGATGCTAAAAGGACGATCGAAGTCGGAGTTTTCACCGGATACTCACTTCTGCTTACTGCTCTTACAATTCCCCAGGATGGCAAGGTAAACAATCCATCTGTACCGTCGAGACTAATTCATTAGCCCATAAGTAAACAATCTGTAACATTGACTTGTGTAAACTAACATCGAAGCATCCTCAGTTTTCCTCTGTATGAAACCGGCTTCAAGACCATTTACTCGTTGTTGTCTATCCTCGTCTTTACCGTTCATTCTGGTGCAGATTATAGCCGTAGATATGAATCGAGAAGCATATGAGATAGGGCTACCTGTTATCAGAAAAGCCGGAGTTGAAAGCAAAATTGACTTCATAGAATCGGAGGCTTTGCCAGTCCTTGACAATCTTCTTGCAAATGTAAGGATGAACTATTTTAAAAGCCTTGTTCTTAGTTACATTCATTGTCCACGGTTAGCATCTTGTCGAGACCAGATTGTCATTTCGGGTGTTTCTGGTTGCAGCCCGGGAACGAAAACAGCTTCGACTTTGATTTTATCGATGCCGACAAGATCAATTACCGGAATTACCATGAGAGGCTGATGAAATTGTTGAAGGTTGGTGGGATTGTTGTGTACGACAACACGTTGTGGGGAGGATCGGTTGCGATGTCGGAAGAGTGCACTCCGGAGGTAAGGAAAGAAGGAAGACAGAGTACTCTGGAGTTTAATAAATTGCTCGCCGCCGATCATCGTGTCGAAATTTCACTCGCTCCGTTAGGTGATGGGATCACAATCTGCAGGCGTATGCATTGAACTTTTTGTTGCTTGCACCAGTTTAATTAATGTATCCATTATGAACTTGTCCAGAACATGTTTTTGGGCTATCAATGGCTGGCTGTCCGCCTGCAATTTAATAAAGCTCCACTCAGTTGGTCAAATTATGGTTTTGATCCCTCTGCTATGCTTAAATTTGAAATTTACGTACTTCAGTTTCCCCTACCATAAATAAAAATTATTTTTAAACTCGAATCGGATCATAATAAAATTTTGTTATAATAATACCAAATCAGATTCGATCAATCAAAATTCAGCGTCATTTCTATCTTCAACACAATATAAAAATGATGGAACAATGACGTTATATGATGGTCTCGTGGCTTTTCTTTTAGGGTAAATTACATATTTAGAACCTAAACTATTAGTTTTGATCTATTTCAGTATTTAAATTTTTAATTTTATAAAACCATACTTAATGTTTAGTTATAATTTCATTTTAGTACCCGAAGTCAAAAATGTAACGCATTTAGTACATAAACTATTAGTTTTGGTCCGTTTTGAGTACCTAAACTTTTAATTTTTTAAAAGTTTAACGTTAAATTTTGAACGGGTACTAAAAGAACAAAAACTAAAGTTTTTAACGGTGAGATACTAAAACGAAATAAAAACTACACATAATGTATAGTTTTGAAAAAAAATTTAAACTTTAAATACTAAAATGAACCAAAACTGTCGTAAGAGGGAGTGCAAATGATTGAGAAAACAAGGGGAAGAAAGGTAGAGGTGGTGACTAGAGAGTACACCATCAACCTTCACAAGCGCCTCCATGGCTGGTAGCTGATCTTTCCTTTATAACGAAGAAAACCATTTCATTTGCTTTGCTCTGCTCGCCTGTTTCCTTTTTATTCTTTGTATTGTGCTCATTGCTTTGTGGGTCTTTTTTATTTTGGTTGTAAGCATTGCCTTTAGCTTTATAGAGTTGTTCGCTTGATTATTGAGCTTTTCATGTTGTTATTGACTTTTAGCCTTTAGGCTGAGCTTTTGTAGTCATGAATTTAGCTGTCAAGGCTCTTCAGAGATGAGCCTGCAAGTGATTGAGAGATTCATGTTCCCCTGGAAGCTTAGGAAAATAATGCCTGGGTTTAATGCAAAAAGTGGTTTACAATTTTTTTTATGATATTGTAGTTATTTTTGACTGCTTCGGCATTATAGAATAATCGATAACCATGATGAATTGGGTGGAATCATGAGTTATTTCTGGAGCTGAGAATCACTTGGTCAGGAAATATGTTTAGTCATATATGCTAATTGATGATGTTCGGGGAAAGGTTTGAGCAACTGATTTTCAACTTTCTTTGTGGTCATCTCGTTCACAGTACATTCAAGAAGAAGGCTCCCAAGGCTATAAAGGAGATCAGGAAGATTGCAGAAAAAGCAATGGGGACAAAGGATGTGAGAGTTGATGTCAAGCTGAACAAGCACATCTGGAGCAGAGGGATCAGAAGTGTCCCAAGAAGGATTAGGGTCCGCATTGCTCGCAAGAGAAACGACGACAAAGATGCAAAGGAGGAGCTCTAACCATTGACATTGAGGACAAACATATGATAATATGCAAACTTGCAAAGTTTTAGATTAAATAACAAACTTAGCACCTCGTAAAAGTTTGAAATTTGTAGTTCAGTTTAGTTGATACTTATTATCAATTATCAGCTAATTTGGAGGTCTCATACGGAAGCTGCTCTCAACCTGGCGTTAGGGACAATCTACCATCCTATCTCCCCTTATCCCATTACATATGGGAATAAGGGTCAGCTAATTTTTTATTATCAATTATAAAATCATTGGGATGGATAGCGTACGACTCAGAACCATCGCTCAACTAACAACAATTTTATCATTATAAATCGAGTGGATGAAGAATCCTGCAGCTCTGGTTTCTGTTGCAGTGAGAACTAGTGGTTAAGAGGTCTTGGTAGAGCAGAGGGGTAAGTTCTCCACCGCCAAACTACGGCATCGGCGCCATTCTTTCTTCAACCCCTTTGGCCGACTAAATCTAAACCATGCTAAACAATCTGCTGCTTTCAGACAAATCCAAAGGACTGCCACAGTAGCAAATTAGTCTCGTGAATACCATTTTGAGAGCAATTCCAATAAGCATGCTCCCAAGAGAAATTCCATCTTGGTGGAGATAAGTTGGGGAGTCTCAGGAGTCTCATTAAGTGGTGTAATGTACATTGCCCTGTGTTATAGTATAACTGTTTTGTCACCTAAATTTTATTTTTATTCAATCCAAAATGTTTATTATGTAATTTGTTTGTGGAAAGAAATAAATAAAAAAAACGAGTTTGTGGAGGATGCGGAGTTTCTCAAATCGAAATCCACCATTGATCTCAAACGGATTACGGGACAGAATTCCCGAGGTGCAAACATTGTCATAAATTCAAAGGGTAAAGTACACAAATGGTTACGATTGAGGGGCATAATTCCCGAGGTACAAACCTTGTCATAAATTCAAAGAATAAAGTACACAAATAGTTACGATTGAGGGGCAAAAATTCCCAAGATGCAATCCTTGTTATAAATTCAAAAAGTACACAAACGGTTACTATTGAGAGGCATATTTCCCGAGATGCAAACCTTGTCATAAATTCAAAGAATGAAGTACACAAATGGTTACGATTGAGAGGCATAATTCCCGAGGTGCAAACCTTATTATAAATTCAAAGAGTAAAGTACACAAATGGTTACGATTGAGGGGCAGAAATTCCCTGGGTTCAAACCTTGTTATAAATTCAAAAAGTAAAGTACACAAATGATTACGATTGAGGGACATAATTCCCGAGGTACAAACCTTGTCATAAATTCAAAGAATAAAATACACAAATGGTTACGATTGAGGGGCATAATTCCCGAGGTGCAAACCTTGTCATAAATTCAAAGAATAAAGTACACAAATGGCTACGATTGAGGGGCAGAAATTCCCGAGGTGCAAACCTTGTTATAAATTCAAATGATAAAGTACGCAAATGGTGTGTTAAAGATGAAACAAAGCAAAAGCGAAAATAAAGAAACTGTTCTACTTCCTACAATTTCTTTACCAAGTAATAACAACAATATCCGTGAGTATTTTAAACTGAAAATCGAGACCATTTTCTCAGGAAACAAATCAAAGATCAGCTCTCCCTGGGAATCTTGGGAAGGGAATAACATCTCTAATGTTATCGATGCCAGTCGCAAAGAGTATCATTCGTTCAAAGCCTAACCCGAATCCGCAATGCTTAACAGTTCCGAAACGCCGGAGGTCAAGATACCACTCGTATGGCTCAAGGGGCAGCCCCATCTCCGAAATTCTGTGAGGACCAACAACTAAAACCAGTCAAGTTCACTGTTATGCTCGATATCCCATCAACGATTACATAACTAAAATAGAATTATGATATGGACCAAGGAAACACTACTACTTACCGTTCCCGAATGACATCGTAACGCTCTTCCCTTTGGCTTCCCCCAATCAGTTCTCCGACCTGAAATGTTTGGAAAATATCCACTCAACAATGTAGCAAAGCAAAGTGGAAGACTGCGAATACACATGTGATGAAATAAAAGAGAATGCTGACCTTTGGCACAAGGACATCCATAGCAGCAACAGTCTTCAAGTCATCATTGAGCCTCATGTAGAATGCTTTTATTCCCTTTGGGTAGTTATAAACAATAACAGGCTTCTGAAATTTAACTTCTGTCAAGAATCTGAAGGTATCAACGCAAAATAAGATATTAGTGTCCGTGTTCGAAGCAGGTCGGAGAAATAATTAGAGAGAAAGACTTGCATACCTTTCATGCTCAGAAGCTAAATCAATCCCCCACTTCACTTCATTCTCAAATTTCTTACCACCTTTCACAGCTTCCTCTAAAAGCTCCACCGCTTCTGTGTATGTTATTTGCACAAAGGGAGTCGATGCAACCATTTTCAACCGATCGATACAACCTTTATCATAATTTTTAGCCATGAATTCCATATCATCTAGGCATTTATCAAGCAACCAATTACATATACTTCACATAAGCCTCGGCACATTTCATGTCATACTGCAAAAGCATTCAATCTTTGATTTGATTTACACATGAATAGTTTTTGGTCGACATAAATGAATGTAGCGAGACATACCTGAAGATCTGCAAATGCTATTTCAGGCTCTACCATCCAAAATTCTGCCAAATGCCTTGAAGTATGAGAGTGTTCAGCCCGGAAAGTTGGCCCAAACGTATACACATTACTAACAGCACAAGCATATGTTTCGACTTGCAGTTGGCCAGACACGGTCAGAAAAGCTTGACGAGCAAAAAAATCTTGGGTGTAGTCAATCTTGCCATCCCTTTTCGGAATCCCGGGTTTCAATTTAGATCTCTCCTCCAGCTTAGAGAGATTTTCCTTTGCTTTGTTAAGTTCGGCCACGGATGCAGTGATATCCAATTTGCTTGCTTTAGCAACTTTAAGTTGTTTAACAGCCTCTCCTCTCTCGCTCACAAGCTGCCTAGCGGCTTCTATATCCGCCTCGGATGGAGGAGGGTTTTTAATCAGTTCCTTCTCCAGCTTTTCAGATTCACTAATCAAAGTTGTAACTTGAAACATCTCACCGGCACCCTCACAATCACTAGTAGTAATAATTGGAGTGTGCACATAGAGGAAATTATGCTCTTGGAAGAATGAATGAGTAGCAAATGCAAGTGCGTTCCGAATTCGAGCAAGGGCAGCAATCTGAATCCATATATAAAATAACCAAGGATTACAAAATAATAACAGGATAAGCAGAAGCTAAATATAATACATATTGCACAACATTAAACGGTCCTAAAGTTGCTAAATTGAACTCAGCAGAGTTAACTCGTCAGGAAGATGAAAATTTTACCTTCAATACATTCAGTAGAATTAAAATTTTAAGCTTTTAATTAAAGTTCCATAAAAGGGAAAGATAAAGATTCATACCGTGTTGGTCCGAGATCGAAGATGAAGATGATCCCTCAAGAACTCAAGCGTGAGCTTCGCTTTTGGAATCGGGTACTTAGCAGGATCCACCTCGCCTACAGAAACCACTTTTTCGACCCGAAGCTCAATCTTCTGCCTCGTGCCTTCAGGTGGGACCTTCAATATTCCATCCACCACCACGCTTGCTCAGAACAGAAACTCCGGCGTCGATAATGACCTGTAAGTTCGCCGGGCACGATCCATCATTCAGTTCCAAGAAAGCGAAAGTCCCTTTTCCTTGCTCCCTCCCTGTCTTTACCCAACCACCGGCCCTGACTTTTTGCCCGGCAAGGCCAGCCCCGCCGTCTGGCCGACCGACGATGGAACGGATCAGGACACGATCGGAGAACGCATGTTTCTTAACAGCGTGCGTCAAGTTCATCGCGGCGAGCTGGTCGGAAGGAGGCAGCGCCTGTTTTGTTTCCGCCATTGGATTTTCTAAGCGTGACAGAGATGAACGGTAAAAATGAAGGCTTGATTTAGAAACTTAAGGATATAAACCCTAAAAAATTAATTAGGGTAAATTATGGGTTAGTATATAAACTATCAATTTTGATCGCTTTAGTACCTAAACTTTTAATTATTTTTATAAACATACCTAAAATTTAGTTTTTATTTTATTTTAGTATCTTGTTGTTAAAAACTTTAGTTTTTATTTCATTTTATTACCTCGTTCAAAATTTAATGTTAAATTTGAAAAAACTTGGTACTAAAACGGACCAAAACGGATAGTTTAGATACTAAATGTGTTAAGTTTTTAACGATGAGATATTAAAATGAAATGAAAACTAAATGTTATCTATTATTTTAAAAATAATTAAAAGTCTAGGTACTAAAACCAATTAAAACTGACAATTTAGGTGCTAAATACATAATTTATCCTAAAGTTTATATGTAGTGCGGTGTTGATCTGCTGGGGCCAAGACTACATTAGTTTCAACGTGTCCAATGCGCGTTGGGTTACAATATCTGGTTTCATACGCGTGTAGTCATCTCATTGGTCGTCCATAAGCCTGAAACGAGGAAAATACCCTCTCCTCCTACAAGGCAGCCTTATTTTAAGACTAAATAAATGTGCAATCTAATAAAAGGTTAAAAAAAACCATAATATTTAAAAGTACGAAATCTAAAATATTAACTTTTAACTGAAAATATTATAAATAATATAAAAACTTCATAATAATTGAAAATATTATAAAAATTATATGTAATCGAAAATATTAAAAAATAATATTTTAAATTTGTGTAATATAAAATATTATATTTTTTTAATATTTTAATTTGTTTTTCCCCTTAACCTCAAATTTATTGTCATTTATGAGACATTTCCGAAATACCAAGGATTCTGAGCCACGTGATTTTAAGGTGGAATCTTTGTTTCATGGTGGCGCTGCTAGAATCTTTCACTGTCCCAAAGCTTGTTTCAGCCATTTGTTTTAATAATAATGTGATTTGATTTGGTATAATGTCAACATTCATTTTATCTAATAGTATTTTACTTCTATTTTATATTTTAAAAATACATTAAGTCTTATTATTTTATAAAATGATAAAATTTATATACAAATATACAAAATTTAAAATTATTTTTTATTTTGAAATTTACATTCGTTACAATTTAAATTATATAAAAATACCATTTCAAAAAAGTATATATAAAATATATTCGAATATTGACACATGTTATTTGTTTGAGGAATTAAATTTATTAAATTAAATTAAAATTATAATCAAATTGATTAAATGTGTAAGTAATGAAGATAAGATATATAAATATATCAAATTTTAATTATATCGTCAGCTCCTCCGTCGAGTATTAATGATAAAAGATTTAATGGACAACGTTGCATGATTGATAAAATTTAAAGATTAATGATCGAAATAGAATCTACCTATAGTTAAGTGGTCATGGGTGTAGTTTAGCCTAAGAATTGACACATGGCAGTGATACGGTCCAAATGGGCAGATGGGCCGGACCTTCATTAAAGCCAATAAGGATGCCCACGCGGGAATCCGATGACGTCAACGTCGTGGAGAAACGGAAGGAGAACCAGCGAAGAAAAAACAGTTAATTTATTCGAACACAACACGGTTAAGGAAAAAATAAAAATAGAAATCCCCAAATAAAATTAGATTTCCCTATTGCATCCCTTTCTGCAAGGAATCTATCGATCTCTCTCCCAAATCCCTAATTTCTTAATTTTACAGGTTAGAGCTTCACCTTTTTGCTATGTGTTTTTGACTTTTTTTGAACGCTTAATTGGATTTATTGATATTTTCCCTGTTTCCGAGTTATTGATTATTGCTTCTTTTGGTCCGATCTTATTTTCGATCATCGTTGAACAGACTCTGTGGGGTTTTAATCGCGGTGAATCAACCATGCTTGGTCGGCTTTTTGGGAAACCCAAGCAGGAAGCAAATGCTTTAACCACGCTAGATAAATTAAATGAGGTAGATTCTCGAATTTCTTTAATTGAAAATTTTACTCATTTGCTTTGGATTTCCTCTTGCGTTGCGCGAATCGGTTATGTGCTCTGAAATCGAAAATTGGCTTTTGGTGAATTTTGGTGGGTTGAATTTAGCAGTCATAAGTGGTTGGGACTTTGGGATTTGGATATAAGAACTGGATTACTGGCTGAGTGGTTAATGGAATAATATCATATGATAACCTTTGGTGATTTGTTAAATTGTTTGTTCAAATTTTCGGAAGGGATGTCCTGATTGCAGGAAAATAATGAAATAATGGAACCCTGTATTATATTCTTTCTCGTTTACCTTTTGCTTAATTAGAATCCGATTTCCTAATCATCATACAGACCCTTGAAATGCTGGAGAAAAAGGAGAAAGTACTTGTGAAAAAGGCTTCTGCAGAGGTTGAAAAGGCCAAGGAATTTTCTAAAGCGAGAAACAAGAGAGGTTAGTTGCAATTTATCTGTTTGGTATTTATTGTTTTCCTAGTTCTCCATTGCTTCCTCTGTTTTAAAGAAAAATGCATACAAGTTTCATTGGAACCTTTTAACTTTGTAAATTATCATGGTTATTATGTTTCATTTCTTGGTGGTTGCGTGTAAATATGTTATCAGCAGCAGTATCGTGCAATGACCGGTAGCTTACTTATGCAGGATCGTCATGATAATTATTCCTATTTCTTTATTATATCATGGTCCTTTTCCATCATAACCCAATTCTAGTGTTTTCTTTCCTTCTCGAAAGAAAGACGGAACATATTAAAGTGAAATAACCCCTCCCCACCCGCCCAAAAAAAAATTAAAAGTCTCAAATGTTTCAAAGCTTTTCAGTTTTCATCTTTGGTTTGGGTGTATGTTTTGCACTAATTCTGAGTTCTTAATGCTCTTTGGACATTGACCGATGCTCTAATACAGATAAACTGTTAACATGGTAAGATATATTTCTGAATTTCTAATGTGTAATGTGTCATCTCTTAGAGTTTTACATTCAATGATCTTGTCCTTGTAGAGAAAGGATTAAGTTTAGTTATTTATCATTTAAAACCATATTGGTTACATTTATAGCGAACTTTTTATTCATTACTTCTATTCTTGTGCAGCTGCTATACAGTGCCTGAAGAGGAAGAGATTATATGAACAACAAATAGAGCAGCTTGGGAACTTTCAGCTTCGTATTCATGATCAAGTGAGCTTGGAAGTTTTTATTTTCAGTGTTTTAACACTTCCCTTGGAGGGTTTATTATTATTATTATAACAATACCATTACTTAATTGTATATATCAATTTCCACAGATGATAATGTTAGAAGGTGCTAAAGCCACAACCGAAACAGTAGACGCATTGAGAACTGGAGCTGCTGTAATGAAAGCAATGCAGAAAGCAACGTATGTTTTCCTTTAAATTCATCATATCATTACCATATCATTGATGTTTGCTGACTCGCAGTTTATGCTGTCCAAATTAGCAATTATATTTGGGTCTTTCATAAAGCACAGGCGGTGGCTAATTCTCACCGTTCAACTGAAATTTGCTTTCTTTACAGGAATATAGATGATGTTGACAAAACAATGGACGAGATCAATGAGCAAACCGAAAACATGAAGCAGATTCAAGAAGCACTGTCAACTCCTATTGGGGCTTCTGCTGATTTTGATGAGGTTAGTGTCTTCTTTTGTTTTTACCGTGCTGTTTGTGTTCACAAATACCATGTGTAGCATTCATAATCATCTAACAATGAATCTAAAACTTTTGATGCTTTAGGATGAATTGGAGGCAGAACTCGAAGAACTTGAAGGTGCTGAGTTGGAAGAACAACTTCTTCAGCCTGCAACAACTGCTCCTGCAGCTCCAGTCCAGGTACCTGCTGGTAGGCAACCAGCTCGATCTGTTCCTCAAAAGCGCACTGCCGAGGAAGATGAACTTGCAGCATTGCAAGCAGAGATGGCTCTTTAAGGTAATTCATTTTATTTCAGTTTGTTTCGGGGAATTACATAGGAAGCTTAAAATAAGGGGAATTGATCTGGTAGCGTATAGTTCACCATTTTTTAATGCTAATGATTTATTTGATTTGGTTTTTGCTCTGTAGGCATCTAGAGAACTGATTTTGTTGATTGAAGTATCGCAACCACAGGTCATGTTGCAAAACATGAAAGAGAAGCCATTGTTATATTATTGAATCTCTACTTTAAATTTGTGTGCATTTAAGGTTTGACTGACAATGTACATAAAGATATTTGCATTGTCTATACGAAGATCCCTTATCTTTTGTACTTCTAAGAAAATATATTTTTTTCTATAGGGGCAGTCTATGTAGCTATGTTGGTTTAAATGTCTTAAAAGTGAAGTTAGAGTCGATCCAAATATGATTGATGTGTTAAAAGGGACAGTGAGATTTAGAATGTTCATATTCGAGTCTTAATATGCAGAAATAATATGTACAAGCTTTCAATCTATATTTATTTTGATTTAAATCTCACTGTATATGAATTATGCTTAAAAAACATTCTAATACAGATAGGTTGGACATAGTTTGATTATTTGTTTCATCTGCGTCTTTTACACTCGTATCATTTAGTTGAAATAAAGAAAGTTCTTTTTATCTGCTCTGTTTTTTTTTCTTTGTTCATCTTGTGTGTTGTTTATAGTCAAGAATGGAGCAAAAAGATAGTTTGAAGCAAAGCAGGGATCAATGTCGAAGTGGGGGAAGGAAAGCTTCAACTGTGTTGGTCCGAGGCAATGTAGAATAGAGTCTAGAAAATGTTGTATGGTCACCAATTTTCTAGTACAAGTAGGAATGGGTACGAACCTAAACTTGATGGGTTCCGACCAGATCCGATTGGGTTGAGTTTTTTTTAAAAGAACTTAGGTTCGGGTCGGTTTAGTTCAGCTTTTTTAGAGAATATATCCGGATTGACCAAATTTAAGGTAAAAAATATTCTACCCGATCCTTGAAATAATTCCTTATATATTTTGGGATAATTGTAATAATAACCCTCTATATATATAACTTTTTTAATCATATACTTATTTTTACTAAACAAATAATATTTTTTTATAAATATACTTATTTCGGGTTAGTTTGAGTCAGGTTTTGGTTTTATCTTAAAAGATCAATTCATGTTTGGATCGGGTGAAGTCATCCTTAAACTCGGATCGGGTCGAGTTTTGGGTGAAAGCTATATATTTTTAGATCGGGTCGAATTGACTCAAAACTTGACTCAACCCGACTCACGTGCATCCGAAATACTAGGCCTGCAAACGAATCGAACGCACACGAACGGAGGTATGTTCATGTTCGTTCATTTAATAAATAAACGAAAATAAACGAACACGAACATAAACGAACAAAAATTTTTTTGTTCATGTTCGTTCATTAAGGAATATAGTTTGTTCATGTTCGTTCATTTAATAAATAAACGAACATAAACGAACAAGAACATAAATAAACACAAACATAAACGAACATAAACGTTGGAGACCCTACCTTCCATTGTTCTTTCATGAAAAATAGTCGACAATGCAAATCAACCAAATCTACAGTGATAAATAGCGTAAGAGCTGATTAGAAGTGATGAAATGTTTGAAGATATCAGATATTTCGATCGATCTTTTAAAGATATTAAATGATTCACACGACTTTAATTTAACGCTATAACATTTATCTTAGTGGTCCATGATTACATATGAACAATCATTTTTCACTACGTTATTCTAATAAATTCGCCGACTAAAAGTTTTGTGACATCAATGTCAGACTTTAGTGAGATTTGTTAACAATGATCATTTCTATTGGCAGAGTAGAAAATTTAACAGCATGAAGGTTTCGAACGGTATAAATTGGACTACAAGGCAATAACATAGATCCGAAATCCCTCCGATACTACATATCTAATTGATATTATTGCTAAACCACCATTCAAAATTTTAACGTACCTAAAGTCTACTCCACAACTAAAGGTTACACAAGAACTATGAAAACAAAAGTTCATTGTCAAAGTGTATTTTCTACTTATTAATGGGTTCTTCCTGGAAAACTCATTACTTCCGCTATTACACTCTTTTTCAGAAATTGCATAGAATCATTTGTTTTGTTTTTTTTGGCAAATTCTATATATTTTTTCTCTTTACTGATGCTCATATACTTCCGATTGTTACCTTTATCTTCCCATATATTTCTAGAAAGAAGTATGATGTTTTCTTGAATTTTAGATGTGAAGATATCCACAATAACTTTACATATCAACTATTAAGCCAAATAAAACAGAGAGAGATGAAAACAGACCTGTAAAACTTCAGATTGCACTATAATATAACTTTTTTTTGAAGCTTTCACCGATCGTCTCAACTCTCCAGTGAACACTAGGGTTTGGGAAAAAAGGGAGAAAATGAATATAGGTGCGAGGTGCCTCACGGGTTAACATATTGGATTTAATCTCCAAATAAAATTGGGTTAATTATGGAGTTGGTCATCAGAATATCAAATTAATTAATATTTTTAAGATACTTACAAATTGGTCACCAAAATTGATTTAAGAAGATTGGGTTAAACATAAATGAACGAACATAAACAAACATAACCGAACGAACATAAATGAACATAACCGAAGTTCAAGAGCGTAAATGAACGAACGAGACATATGTTCATGTTTGTTCATTTAATTAAACGAACACAAAATTTTGTTCATGTTCGTTCATTTAATAAATAAACGCACATAAACGAACTTCCCGCCGCACGGTTCATGAACGGTTCGCTGAACGTTCAATTCATTTACAGGCCTACTAAATACAAGTCTAACTTAAATGTTAGAAATTAAGCTTATCCACCTGTTATCAATTAAATATCAGTGATAATATAATATTATAGGAGAAAATGGAACACATGCTGAGACTATAATTTGTCACCCAAAAACTTTAATCTTATAAAATAAATTATTTCTATCGATGATTTAGATATGTAATAAACTATTAAAAAATATCTCAACATGTTTAAAATTCTCTCCGTATTCGTATTCACAATAATGAATTAAAAATATATACAGTAAATCTTTTATTTCACTTGTGAATATAATCAACTCGATTAATCAATAACATTATAGATTCCTCACTTACAAGTTCTTAACCACGTACTAATGTCAAACTTGTACAAATGGCTAAGAATAACCAGATCGTCTAGTGAGATGAAGATTGTCCTCACCTCTTTAGTATTCGATTTGGATTAATCTCTCAATATATCACATTCAAACCCCTGGTTTAGTACAACCCACCTGAGTAATTTATTAACAAATTGTTCCATTAAACATAACTTTAAAAGAAAATAAAACCTTTTCACCAGCTTCATTTTGGATGACTACGTACATTAAGGTTGGTATAATAAAATAATGCTAGGCTAGCCATCTTTATACGTTGTACAGGAAAATACATCTACATTTGATCATGTGCATTAAACGGATAATGATGCCCCTCAAATTTAAGATGATCCAATACAATTCCTTGATCTTCAGAACCTCCATTGCCAGACCAAGCAGTAGAGTAATCCTCCGGGGAAAAGAAAGATGAACCGAAGAAATTCGAAACATCTTGAGAAGACGACATGCTGTAATTGTTGCTTGCGGTAGTACTCGTCGTGGCGCTATAATCCATAAACCCCGGTAGAGGAAACTGATCGATCTGGTCCGAAACAAACCCCGAATGATAATAATTCTGCTGGTATTTCACGTCTGCCATGGAAGAAGACGCTATGGCAGTGACGTCTTCATTCAAGTGACCGAGAGTTTCAGCTTCAACAGGAACCGAACTGGTGGATCTGTTGGTTTTTGCCGACGATAATCTTTTCTTCAGCTTGGTGTTCCAATGGTTCTTTACATCGTTGTCTGTTCTGCCCGGCAGTTGGGCAGCGATAATCGACCACCTAGATTAACCAAGATGGGTTATTTTCAGATATAGATGGAAATTAAACCGTGTTGAAATCAACTTGCCTGCTTCCTATGGTGTTATAGAGGGAGCATATGATGTTGTCTTCTTCTTCGGTAAATCCTCCATGCTTGATGTCTGGCCTGAGATAGTTAAGCCACCGCAGGCGACAACTCTTCCCGCAGCGTTTAAGGCCTAAAACGTGGAATCAGCTAAAGTCTGCTTCGAATCTCATTATCCAGGGTTTAGGGTTTACCTGCTTTACGCGGAAGAGCGATCCAGCTGCCGCCGGTGCCGTGTTTCTGGAGATAGTTCCTGAGCGTATCGTCCTCATCAGGCGACCATGACCCTCTTTTCACGTTGGCTTTGTCACAGCAGGGAGCTCTTCCCATGGAAAAGAGAAGTTGAGAACGAAAGTGGTTAACTCGGATGGGTTGGTATGGGAGAAGACATGGTCTTAAAGCTGAGTGAAGACTATATAAAGATTGGGAAACTCGACTTTGTTACGACCGGCTCTTGTTGAATTCGGGATAATCTTGTGGCTACTTTTTCCATATACGGATGATGATGATTTTGTTTGTTGGAGAAAGAGGGAAGGAGAGAGCACGGAGATTTCATATGCATTGGGGTGTCACCTGCAAACGCTCTTACATATGCAGATATCCGTATAAGAGTCGACGCTTTTGTAACTATCACGCGGTTTCTGGTTCACCATGGTCCATGTGAAACAAATATATGTACTAATATACTCATACTGTACGATTGCATAGTATCAGTGAATCAAATGTTTCTGCTTCACCATGGTCGTCCATGATCCATTAACAACATGGTCAAAATAGAAGACTTAGACAAATCATTAAGCTCAAGGTCACAATCTGCCTCAGCACAGTCCCGACCCATGCAATCATGCCGGTTTAGACTAATCCTTTAAACGTTCATTGTCAAAAGACTGAAAGTATTTTAAACAAATATTAACTTGTAATCACCTTAAATTAATAAAAAAAAAGTATTGAAATACCATAATAACTTGAGACTTAATCGTAAGTAATATACATGTCCGTCCCAAAAGATATGGATGTCTTGTGATATTTTAAAAAAAATGACCCATAAAATATTTTATAATAAGACAAAATTGTAAAATATCAAAATTTATCATATTACGATTACTTATAAAATAAAAATTTTCAAAACATATGAAACCAAAACAATGTCACAAAACAACTCTATAATTGTGATATTTTATTAAAAAAATATCATCCTTCGAACGCTCTTATAAACAAAATCGTGATATTTTTTTAAAGTGTAAGTCCTCAGATTTTGGAACCATGTGACGTATCACTTAGCAATGGATAGAGCTAGTAATATACATCTACTATAAGCATCAATGA